ATGTTACATAGTACATAAATATGATTCTATCTTCAAATAACACACACCCATATGTGTGTGTGTGTTTTGCGTATTTCTCTGCTAATTTCTTAGAATTTATGTTCTCCCTTTTATTGGAAAAGAACTAGGATCAATTTATAATGATGTAGTATAGAAATGAACAAATGATGAGTTCTTCAATCTAGCTTGGGACATCTAGGTTGCAAGTTCACAAAAATGACATTTTTAAGGAGTGGAAGACTAACAGAAACTTGTTTTCATTGTTGTGGAGACTCAAAGAAGTTGTGAGAGGACAGAAGATGAACATGGTCATTTTTATGAAATTCTTGAACATCAATTGTACCGTTAACATCGTCGGTCATTGGTATAGCCAATAGCTGGCTCTTAATGGTTCTATCTGTTGTGTTTATAGTTTTTGGCCAAAGAATTAAACAGATCATTGCAATCCTTTCCTTCTTTCAGAAGTTCCATATTAACTACCTGTGCTTGGAGATTAAGTACTTGCATTTGGACTTGGACTTGGATTTTAGCTGATGCAGTTACTCTATTTCCTTGTTTCTATAGAGAAGAAAAAGTTCTTTTAGTGGGAAAGAGGATTTTGTGGAGAAGGAATAAAATTATAAAAGTTGTTAGAGTTTGAAGAAGGCCTGGAATTATGATTTAGAAACACGATATAGTCCAAAGGTTGAAAAATTTTGGCCTAAACTTTTACACCACACTGTTTAGGACATGATACAAATGGTCAATGTGGTGGGGGGATAGAGAATGATTAAAAATGAGACAGGAAACCTACAGTGGCGATAAATCTTCCATGAGAGACAAGCTCACACAAAGTTCTTATTTACTAGCTCATTAAAGACTCTAGAACATTCTAGAGCTCTAAACCTAATAAAGTGTGAAGCAATTAAATAAGGAAACAAATTACTTCTCTAGAAATCAACCGCACCAATAAGGCTGGCGCCAAATCTAAATGATAAAGCTTAATTATCCTAATAACAACCAAGATTATTATCTTATAGACGTTCCAATATAGTGATTTATTATTCACCTGTTATCTTACTGAATAAATAAATGAGTTTATCTCTAAAAAATTTATTACAAAACTTTTTTTATTATAAGTTTTTTAGAATTTGCAAGAGTTCCATGTCTTCTTTGTTTGGCAGGATCTTAAGTTTAAGGCTTCTCCTAGTCTGCATCACATGTGAGGGTGTTTTATCAATTGCTGCTATTGCCAATGATAGATATCTTTTTGAAGTTCAAAGCATAAGTACGGTCTACAAGAGTGCTTGGTTTTTATAAAATGAAACTTGAGTAAGAAATCCGCGGTTTACATATTTTCCAAAAATAACTTTTGCTTGAAGCTATAAAGGCAAGAAATAAGATAGTCTGACGGGGAGTATGAGGATTGCTCCCAAGTTTGGCTCTTCCAAAAGGGGTTGTTAACCCTTCTAACACGAGTAATTTCAAGGTTTTGTGTTACCCAAAACTAGGTTTATGAAAATAATTCAAAGCACATTCTAGGCAAACTCCTAGAGTAGTCAACCTTTCCTTTAATTTCTGCATCATTTTTGCTTGATGTGGAATTTAGTCCAGGAGTGGACTATTTTGCAATCTTGCAAAACACATGTAAGAAGTGATTTTGAACTTATAAAGGTCTTTATTGAAATATCATGTATGTAACTTTACATGATCTACAAGTTATAATCGAACTTACAATGGCCAAACGGAGCTACACATAACAGCCAAAAAAATAAAATGAATCTATTGTTTGCTGGGAACGTCCTGGTATAAGTATATGTTCCATATATTTCCTTAGTGAGCCTTAGGCTAAATCTTGTACAACTTTTTCAAAGCTTACAATGCTTCGGTGATGTACTTCTCCATCCTGTGTGGCATGAAATCTAAAAGCCCTTCAAGGAAACTTTTGATATGCAGTCCATACTTGAATACTCAAGGTGATCCCATCCATCGAACCATGGGTCTTATCCCACTTGCAAGGATGAACATCTCACCGATTTTAACTAACATGATATCTTGTTGTGCAAACATTGGTGATCATGTACTAGTTGGCTAGCCTTGAAGTGCTTGATGCAAGTGGTGAACCAAATGCTTAAACCTTTGCAAGTCGGCCCAAGAACCTGACATCACCACTAAGAAATATTTCAGGAGGTTTGGGGATAGGTGGAGGAATCAAGTCCTTAGGTCTTGTGAGGTATTGTTGACCGGGACCTTAGCATTGACACAATGACACATATACCATCCAGAAGCATCTACAAAGGTGATAAAATGACCTCTCTCATTGGAGTAAAGTCTGCCTTTGAAGTGATTAGATGACATCATGTGTGACTTCATTCAATACTCCGACTGTCCACATAATTTACTCATGTATAATCTCCAATATGGAGGGTCCTCGCCTGTTTTATGATTTTTGGCTTGAGGAAGAAATTACACATGGCCAAGAGCGTTGCCGAAGAAAACCAAGTGTGATTGCATTTGGATTCTCACGCCACTCGTTTTACTTGCACCATCGCATAACCCACCTCGGACTCCTTTTCCTAAAGTCTAGCACTCCTGACTGGGCCAATCACTATTTCGTACCCCTTTGCACCAAGAAATTCTTCCAACAATGAACAATGGGGACTGGATTGGTATCTATAATAGCATAGCATATTTTTAGCTCAGATCTAACAAAGCTTGAAACTCTAGTCCTTTTCCTGTTGTGATTCTAGTCATTCTACGGGTGCACCAATTAAATGAAAGAGAAGATATGATCAAATACTGATCCAAGAGTCCAAGACTTCTTTCGTCACAATAAGTATATTCCACTTTTGGGGTTGAAGTCTTAGATGAGTTGCTTTCAACTTCAAACTTGACAACAAGTGTGTTGGTTTGCATAGACCTTTTTTTATAACTACATCAAACCATTAAAAATATTGCAGTATATAGCATTTTGCACTTAAAAATGGATTTTCCACATAATTTAAATTTAAAAAATGGTAGGTTTGAATTCTCAAAATCATAGGTAAACTATAACTGTGAAGTGCAGGAGTAATACGAAGTCCGTTATGATCTTGTGACAGATAAAGTGTAGCAGCACATACATGTCTTGCTCTTCAGTTTGCACTAAAAACCGAGCAAAAATATAGGTTTTTTCACTTCGTCTTCTCATTTAATGGTTTGCAAAAATGTATATTAGAGAAAATGACCATTGGATGTAGATAAGGTTCGAGGGAGGAAGAGATGTTTGCCAAACACTATTTCAGTTTTGGACTGTACCTTGTTCAAAATATAGCAGTCTTGTTGCCAGCAGTGTAAACCGAACTAAAGCATTAACAAACAAGACCAATGCTGAAAATCTTTTTCACAGCCGGGGGTCTTCACGGAAACAGCCGCTCTACTCTTTCTGGTAGAGGACAGATCTGCATAGATACCACCCTCCAGACCCTACTTCCGAGTGGGACATCCTGGTGTGATTGGTTCAGTCACCACTATTGAAATACAAATTTATATTTGAAAGTTAATGCAACATTTTCTGCTGCTTGCATTTTTTAATTTCTATTTGACATAATGTGATTTTGCTGGGGCTCTATTCCTGTTTAATTATAATATCTGTGTCTACTCTGTTGCAGGAGTAACAACCAGATATTAGACCCTGCTCTTGGTGGCCAGAGTTGGTTTATCCTTTTGGTTTACCCACTATCTTGTATGTAAGTTCCTGATCTGGGACTTGATTTGGCATACTGGTGTTTCTCCCTGTAAGAACCTTAATAATTTTTTTTTTATCAAGAAGATGGTTGGGTTGGGAGAAGTGACTCTCATCAAGAAATCATGTCCTTGAAATCTGTTTCTGATTTCATCTTTCTTCAGTATTTAGAATCGTCTCCTATGAGTCGATTACATGCATAAACTACTTTGTTCTGTGATCTCTGGAATTGATTTGCCAATGCATGAAAAAGACTCGATTTTCACAATTTGTTAAAGTTAATTTATGTAGGAAGAGAAGTACTACAAATAAATGTGTTAGTAGTTCATAGTGAAATGGAAGTAAGAGACCCTTTTTCTTGTCATTAATTAAACTCAATAATGCTATACACGAAGGTCACTCACTGTGATTAATTGGATGTAAAAGATAAATCGTGAGAGGATGTTTATATGGATTTAGAAAATCTTCCCATTGGTATATTAGTCGCTAAATAGCCTTTGTATAGCACAAGCAGGCTTGGTTTGATGTATTTACCAAGGAGCCGTTCACCAAACGCTTACCCAAATATGCGCATATCGTGTTACATTACCTTATCAGATGAATATGGCAAAGACTAAGAATCTTATCCTGTAAGACCGAAGGCAAGGACAACAGTTAGCACTTACCGGGTAAATTGTTGCATACGTTATCATTTTGGTGGACCAAAATCTTACCTGATAAGTAAGTGATAGTGTTGAATTTTGCCAGTAAATACTTACCCACCCGGGTAAGAGGCGTTGTGATGTGTGTAATGCTCTATTCGTGAAATTATCTGCGGAAGGAAAACTAGTTCATTCATGTTGTCTTACGTATAAGGGAAAAGTAGTCCATAAAAATGTATAATAATAACAAGCAGCAGCTTATATTTTATTGCCAAGAATCATGTCATTTGATGTGGATAACTTGTTCTTTGCCTATCCTGTAAATAAATAAAGAATTACACAACAATGACATCTTAATACATAGAAACAACTAAAAGAACGGAAACTAGATCTTGTGCAAAGATTACAGACAAAGGAAGTCAAGAGTCATACGAAAACCGACAACCACATGAGCGATGCAAAAAGAACACGGAAACAGTGAAGTAGCAATGACGAACACACCGATACTAACGAACAATTTTAAAGAACCATGTGAATTGATCACGTGTCAATGGTTTTCACGAAAACAGCTAGAGCATTTTTGTAGTGAAATATTGAATTCATTTGGTTCAGCTTATTCATTGCATAGAATTACAAGAAAACTGAGTACTGTGAGAAGCAAACTGTTGTTCATCTTAAAACACACAAAAACACGACATATCAAAAACTAAAAGTCTGGAATACAATCGATCAGGTTCAGGTGTGTTTATATCAACCATTCACCAAACCCTACTCGTTCTATGAAAGATTTCATCAGCAAGGCAAAAGGTATATGCAGTTTTATAACTAGTGTTTGTAGACGAAGATGCACACAAATAGCATCACCAAATACAAAACCAGAGACAGACAGAACAAATGCTCGACCAAGTAACGTAACGATTCCCTGGCTCATCAAACTGTAATTACAAAATCCCGATTTTAATGTTGAAACAAAGGATGACATCATCCTCACATGAAATCGTAGTCGTCATAACCATCATAGCCAGCATTTACAACTGCTTCATCATCTGGCTTATCCACCTGCAGCTGTTTCTTCTTTCCCCCTATACAACAGACCAACATTAAACATGAATGCAACTTGAAAGAACAATAACGTACAATACTCTAAAACATTTAGGCATTTTCCGAGGATGGCCTCTTATAGGAGCTCTTAGAAAGGCAAGACTAAGATAGCAGGGATCAGAAACTAGGGTAGACGAAAGGTAGAGGGTTAAAAAAAAAAAAAAAAAGTTTAATGGTGGGGACCTCATGGCCCCGTGGTCCACATTTTGTGAACCCTACTTGCCATACCTCATAAGCAAGCACCGGAAAAGACAACCTGTCCTCCCCTGGAATCGAACCCGGGTGGGCACGCCCAAGGCAAGGCATTTACAGAAGGAGGTGGCCACTAGGCCAAGGCTTAAGGTAAAGGGTTAGAGAGAATTAGAGGGTTAGAGAGCGTTAGTTTTAGACTAGAGGTGTGTAGTTTCCATAAATTGTTCTAGTCGTATGTTATTGCTTACTCATAACCTGCTTTTCAAAACCTTACCATAAATTGTTTGGTTTAGTTTACTCTAAAATAAAAGGTATCAAAACCTTCGTCTTTGCAGTACTTCTCTGGAACATAGAAACAAATCATATCATTTTTTGTGGTTTATTTGACCTCAAATGCTCACTTCCAGTCTTTCTCTTGGTTATACATCTGTCAGAACTTTTACCATTACTTTTGTACATTGTTAGACTTGGAGAGGCCAGGTTCAATCTGAAATGGAGAAAGTTTGTGCTGGTTACGTGAAAGGGTTTGCATGAATCCCATGGACTACAGAAATGGAAGGTGTCCGATAACACAGTTAGGATAGAAACAGAAGTTGCTTCATTTCTGCCTCTGCGATGTTGTGGCAAGTTCTACAATAAGTATAGGTCCAATTTCCTAAAAGCTAGACAGACTGCACCTGATTATGACATTAAATCGTATATTTTCTTTTTCTCACGCCCTTTTTACAAGCCGGCGGTCTTCATCAAAACACTCTCTGGCATGATGAATTAAAAATGATTGAATTGGACTTTTTCACTTAACCAGAAGTCGCAAGAACCACGACCATAAAGCCTTGCCAATTATTGTAATTTATAAGCTAAAGCAATTMGGAGGTTGCTCACTTGCTGCATGAGATTCCAAGGGAATCCAAATTCCAAGGATCCTCACTTAAAGCACAGCTTAATCAAAGCCACATAGGCATCAAAYAAATTCCACCCCTTAAATTAGCAACTAATCGCCGAGACCCTACATCGTTTGGAATTTACTAGGTTCGTTAAGGTTTGATTTGACATGATGAAATTAAAAATGATTGAATTGGACTTTTTCACTTAACCAGAAGTCGCAAGAACCACGACCATAAAGCCTTGCTAATTATTGTAATTTATAAGCTAAAGCAATTMGGAGGTTGCTCACTTGCTGCATGAGATTCCAAGGGAATCCAAATTCCAAGGATCCTCACTTAAAGCACAGCTTAATCAGAGCCACATAGGCATCAAACAAATTCCACCCCTTAAATTAGCAACTAATCGCCGAATCAAACATTCCATAATAATAAGCAGCCATATGATTCTTAACGCAACCAAAAGTTTCATTCAGACCCACCAAAATATTTTTCACAAGTTAAAACCAGCTTCCATCTTTTCACAGATAATTACTTTGAACCCTGTTCTAAAACCAGGCATAGGTGTACACTTAAAAGTAGCGTAAACTACAATTTTGGTCCTTGAGGTTTAGTGAAATATCTGAAAGTGGTGCCTAACCTTTAATAAGTCTAGAATTTTGGTCTTTTTACCCATTTCTCTAATTTTCTTTTTGAAAACTAAAAAACTATCTTAAATTATAGTTATTTAATTATTATTTATGTATTATTATATATATATACACATATATACACAAGGGACGGTGATCCACACTGACCACACCCCTTCCTGTCTGGAGACCCTCTCCTCCCTCTTCGTCTTCTTCCCCCCTCTGGCAACCCACTGTCTTAATCACGAATCAACCCTCTCCGTCTTCTTCCCCTCCATCATCATTTCAAAGTTTTAATCACAAATTGACCCATTTAACGTTAGCTTATACATTTCAGAGGCGAAGGGCTACTAATAAGCAGCTCTGCTTCATCTTGTGTGATGGCCTCCCCTCTCGTGGATGCTTACCTCTGTCAAATGGATTTCAAGATTTCAATTCCGTTTGGGTTTCAAATGGTTCTCAATTCTCAATTATGTCAGAAATGGGTTTCAAGATTTTGATCATCAAATCATGTATTCTAACTTTTTTCTTGGTGAGAAAGATATATGGAGCATGATTTTAGGTAATCAAGCAGTGTGAGAAAGATGGTCGGAGCAGGGATGAAAATGGTAATCAAGACCCAATGTGTGGGATAGACACTGTGCCATTTTTCCATCAAAAAGCATGGTTTTAGAACAATTTCATTCCATAACTCTAAATCAAAACCCTAATCAAAACCCAGAACCATATGATGAAGAAACAGGCGGGGGCTGGAATTGGGGTTCTGATTGGGGTTTGGAGTCGGGAAGTGGTCACTGGTGTTGAATGGTAGCAGGTTGCAAAGTCGTCTAGTCAGATAGGGGGAAGAGAGAGAGAGAGAGAGGTTTTTTTATTTTAATAAATAATAAATATATAAATAATTTTCATGATTTTAGTGGTTTGTCATGACAGGTCTCTGCACATCCTGTCTTTACATGATCATGATTTCTATGGTTTGTCATGACAAGTCCCTGTACTAACTTTCTTTAATAAAAAAGATAGAATGGCCAAAATGCCCCTCAACTAATTAAAGATTTAAGGTTAAGTCCCACTTTCAAAGATTTCACGAAACCTTAAGGACCAAAATTGTAGTTTACTCCCTAAAAGTAAGTCAAGGTCACTGCGATTATTTCCCTAGTTTGATTGGCAAAAACGTGAGGTTGTGAAAATCAGCTTCCATGTTTTGTTTTTTAATGTTCTCCACTTATATCTTGAATATTATCATGATTTTGCTGAGACGTTAACTAAATAAAAGTTAGTGATTCAGAGATGTAACTGTATCGGAATTCAGGATAACGTTACTATCTTTAACTTCCACATGTTTACATAATCTAAAGATATATCTCCCACTTAATTGTATCAGTATAGCATGTATGAACTGCTCCTATTGAGAAGTGTCATCCTATTCTGATTTTAGGATAGAAGCATAGAATAGAACAACTACAACAAAGATACGAAAAGGGACATACCTGTCTTCTTTTTACCAGCAGCAGCTTCTTTCTCTGCTTTTAGCTTTTCATTCGCAATGGCAGTTACAGAAGAAGCAACTTCTTTTGCATCTGAAGCTTTTAGGGAAGTCATTGACAATCTCATTACAGATTTGAGCAATCCAATGTAATGAAAGCTTTTCTGCATACAGAGATGAACAAGCTGAGTTGTGTACCATGTCAACCATCAAATAGACAGCAAACTAAGATATAACAAATTCAATATACCTCATATGGTCGGAGTTTATTAGAAATCAGCTCTGCATATTCCATAAAGTCACTCTCGGATTTGGGGATAAAACTATCAATGTTCTTTCCGTCACCCTTTTTAGTGGCAAAAAGTTCTGCTGTGTTCTTGTAATCAGCTTCTTCCACAAGTCTGTAAGAAATGGAAGCCACATACTAACTTCTAGTCACATCCCTATAATAAAGTGATACCGACTTATATGGTACTAACAAGTGAGAGAGAGCAAATTGCAACAGCCTCTAGATGAGATTCCATGTCCTCATAGTTGAAATAATAATCAATTAGTTGATTATATGTGAGTCTACGTTTTATATAGCCATACATTCATCCAGCCAGCTCATTATTTGAAAGAGCTTTCTCACAACTCCAGTTCAGATTTTTCATTAGCACGCAAAGGGTATGATTTCAATATTTACTGCACACACAATGGGGATGTAGGGAATCGACATTAGGTGCTATCACTTCATACAACATGTATTTTGCTGAAAGGATAGATTAAAAGTTTGAAGATGAAAGCAGTACTACTTCAAATTTCCAAAATTAGGTGAATATGTTAAAAGCAACCAACAAACCCAAGTTCAGATTGCTAGTTTCATTTTACAAATATAGTTATCAAAAGGTAAAGCCATCTTTCAAAAAAATACATTTGATGTCCGTCACGAAAATGACCCACCTTGAAACAATTTCATTATATATTTGTTGGAAAGATAATAATAGTTCATGCCACTATAATAAGTAATAATCAGCCGATGATTATTTTACAAATATAGCTATCAAAAGGTAAAGCCATCTGCAAAGAAAAGATGATTGATGTCCATCACAAAAATGACCCACCTTGAAACAATTTCATTATATATTTGTTGGAAAGATAATAATAGTTCATGCCAGTAAAATAGTAATAATCAGCCAATGACTAGCAGAATGAGGATCTAGAACATTCACCTTTGTTGTCGAAGCTTCTCTGCTACAGGATCTAGAGGCTCTTCTTTTGCAACTTCAACGGCCTTCCCTTTTTCTTGAATTGGTTTGGCTGTCGGCTTTTTTGGGGCCTTTTCAGGGGGCGGCGCCACAACTGGTGGCTGATACACATCCATAGAAAAAGAATAATAGCAAGTATATCAGAAAGACGAAACAAGCATTTCAAGTAGAACAATGACCGTTCCGCAAGAAGGACAAAAGATATATTATCTAATAAAGGATTGATTATCAGCTATGGAAGTATGACAACAGAAAGTAAACAAATGTAACACTATCCAGTCAATGTATGAATTCATTAGCTTTATATAGATACCCAAGACGTAACCAGTTGATATCGACAACATTAGCCAACAGGAATGAGTTCAGAAGAACTCCACTATGTGGCATAATGCTGGAAGACTGGAGGTTATCAAGTTACACACTCCATCAGACAGATAAGGTAGAGGAATGCAAAAAGACTAGACAAACGAGACGATAAGTTTAAGGTCTCACCATAAGCAGTAAAAGCAAAAGACTAGAGTTGGGGGTTTAAAGTAAAAGATGGACAAGCTCAAAATCACAGTGCATTAGAGCATAGAGAAAGGGAAATACGTATCCGGTGCAAGCTATGTAAGAATCCAACAAAACCAAGATACACAAATAGGACTTTTAACAGAAAAAAGAACATTAACCAAAAAGATCAGACTGTAATTATTTTTTTCTCATTTGGTTTCAGAGTACATATGGCATTACACAAAATTTGGATTATCATTTATAGCAACATACAAAGTAGGCTCAATTCAGATATAACCAGATAAAAATCCCACAACACCTTCTATTATACAGTTAAAATTGCAAAAAGAGAGGAAATATCCTCATCAATCTTTTTGCCTCAGATATGTGTAATCATCACCCACATGCAATGTGTTTATCTGCTTATACATAGCTCAGCAAGTGCATATCAAGTAAGCAGAACCTCGACTTCAAAACAAGTTTTTTAACACATTCACCATATCTATAATTTGGCAAACTTTACTGCTATCAATGTTTTTTATCTGCTTACATATACTCACAAGTGCATATCATTGAAGTAGAACCTGCACTTCACAAATCCAACAAGGTTTTAAACCATAAACACATGCATAATTTTGCAGAATTGACTGCCAAACATGTTGCCAGAGCTTGCAATGATGCATCCAACTGTAAGCTCTCATTATCACCTGGTTACTACCACAGAGAAGTAGAATACTCTATTTCAAGTAACATAAAAATGAGTGGGAGAGTCATAAGGGTAGACACAGCTAACTACAACACATATTTTTTCCAATTTCTAGATGACTATCATATGCTTGACCAATTAAACCAGGCATAAAGAAACTGTAGAGTATACCGGAGCAGGTTCATCTTCATCTTCCCATGAATCTTTTATCTCATTTTCATCAACATCTTCATCATCCCATAAACTTTTAGGGTCCTTTTTGATAACCAGTGGAGCTGGCTCATCCTCTGACACATTCAATTGAAATGATTGTAATGTGTATACAGTAGATACTACCACAAAACATATCTAAATGGTAATAAGCATAAAATAATACATGTATAGCGCAGACAAAAATATGTTTTCAGTTTACTTGAAGCTGATTTTCTCTACTGCATATTAATCAGACCAAAGTCGCCACAAAACATATCTAAATGGTAATAAGCATATAATAATACATGTATAGTGCAAATAAAAATATGTTTTCAGTTAACATGAAGCTGATTTTCTCTACTGCAAAATATTCCAACTAAAGTTGCTACTATACATTCAAATACACAACTCCTACTGCAACAACCAACAAAAGAGGCAAGAGAGGAGGACTTCAATAATGTGCAAGAGAGAATAGACAACCTTGCAACATTGCCAAACGGGCCTGCAAACTACGATGAAGTATACCCTAGTCAAAAGAAAAGGTGAAGCTACAAAGTAGCGGATCCCCATTGTCAAACAATGAACACAATCGCCAATTGGCCATTTGGTGCTCCGCCACAGCTCTTTTCTAATAAGTAGTGGTTAACCACTTAACTGAACAGAGACGACTCGAATCTGAACACGCAAAGTCTGTTGATGTTTGTTATTTTCAAAACTACCTGTCAATGTTGAAACTAGGGGAATCTTCCATACCCAAAATCAACCTCATTACTTCTTTGTAATAATGGCAATAGGGAACATTGTAATATCAGCTTGAAATCCCAAAGATAAAAGGCTGTAACTTTCACGGAATATCCTAAAGTAGAAGTTATAACTTCATGAAATATGTTAAGTAATTGTTTAGGGTTATCCACTCTCTTCAGGCTCACCCTATGGATAGGATCCTACATTGCATTCTTACTTGATTACAGCTTTTAGAAAAGCAATACCATCTGGGGATCAAATAAAAACAGATTTATCTTTCATATATTGAACGGTGCATGGTGCAGACCTAAAAAATGTTTTCCTCAGGCTCTCGCCCCTTTGCAACACTGCAATGATTTCAGATCGAAAAAATGAATTTGCATCAACAATGGAATCAGCAAAACAAACCAGTTTCTACGGTGCACCAGCAAATCTCATCGACAATAACGAACCAGTGAAATCTCACCATCACATACAGGTTTTGCTTTACGGGTTTCAAATTCGATGTATGACAAACATAAGACCATGGTCTCATCTAGCTAATAAGCTACATCAGCAAATCTACAACAAAAACTACTATATTTCGTGTTAATGTGAACCATGGGCCAGACATACACTTCATGTCATATAATCTTAAATGACAAAACCATGACAAAACTTGGTTAGAGACATATATACTCCACATCTTAAGTCATTCCAGGACTAAGTTAAGAAAAACAATTATAACTATATACCACAAAAGGTTAAAAAATTTGTAATACTAAGGAGCATCTATATCATATATATAACTTACTGATGGCTTCTAGACAAGAACACACTTTGATCTACCACTTAGTAATTCCCAAGGCTACAAGCTTCTTAGCAGATGGTGTTCAGACAAGAAGCACTCTCATAGCTTAAAAACTATTTTCATAATTCTTGATGGATTTAAGCAATGGTCGGAACTTGCAAGTTCAGGTTTTATAAAACCAAACCATGATTTTAAAATTAAAAAAAAAAACAAATTGATAATGCAAGTAAAAATTAACTGCATGAAGATTATTGAACACTGAAGAACAGAGAGAGAATGTAGCTTTACCCCAATCCTCCATCTTCTTTGGACTTCCCTTACTCTGAACAAAAACTGTGGTCTGCGGAGGATGAGTAAAGGATGAATTAAGCCTGCTTAACAATATAAAAGAAAGAAAAATGTAAATTAATATAAAGGTTCTTTCATGGGGAACAAACTTCACAACAATCATCAAATATTGCATCCGATATTAAGTTGCAGCAATCAAGAATTATTTTAGCATTTAACCCAACTCTTACAGGCTTACAAAACCACTCTCTAACAACTCAGTCGGAATCAAAACCTACTCAACAGTTGTCAGAAGACACCTGTCAGCATCATATAATTTTCTAGAAGCAAAGTATCTATTCCATAATCGACTCTTATATAGAACAGGTAACTTTTAGATAAACTCACCGTACGTCTTGGATATCCTATTGCATAAGAAATTGCCAGATTCTGATATTAGGGTTCATACCTTTTAGTTCTATATACGATGCTTGATTTGTTTTACATGCGATTGAGATGCATAATGAATCAGAAACCAGGATCTTTCACGTTTAGAAGGCAAATACCAAGCAAGAACCCCCGCTGGGATAGGGATTTAACACTCGGTCCACTCTATATTTACTGAATTTTACCAGTTTTCGACTGATTTTCGACTGATTTAAAAGCACATAGATACATAAGAAGAAAGGATATGGTACCTGAAGGAGATTCGGTGAAGGTGGCGCTGCAACAATGGTGAAAAGAGGTTTTCGGTGAGGTTTCCAAGGCTGCGAAGGACAGAGAGAAAATCAGTTCGTAGAAGGGATTTCAGTTGTAGCGTTAGGGTTTTATGGTTGTTGGGTCGGGTACGAATCCCTTTGATTTAGCCCTTGGTTGGTTGGGGATTCGTTTCCTTCCGTTTCAAACTTAAATTTATGTTACAGATATGAATATCATAAAAAATATGCTGCTATTTTTTTAAACTGTTTTTTCTTTAGAGTTTTTCTTTTTGCAATTGGTTGCAAAATGTCTTTGTTTTAAGCGGTTTTCAAAAAGGATGTTTTGCATCCTCTGTTTTTTTGTTAATATTCTCGTTCTTGAATTTTCTTCGTATTTCAACTTCATTGAGTCGAAGTTTTCAAAAAAATATTTCATCATGTATGAAAAAAGAAAACAGGGTAAGAACAATTGAACATTCTGTAGCATGAAATAAAGTTATTCGATGAAGGTAAGATAAACAAAGCAAAATCATTTGATTAAACTTGCGTGGACGTGTTTTGGTATTAATGTGAAGCTTCAATTGTTTGTTGTTTTTTGCGAAAACCCTAAATCAATGTCTATTATCTTTTGGTCGCTTGTGCTCTATGCAGTGGAGTTGTGGGGCAAAGCGAAATGAAATATAATGAGTAAAAATATGTAACATACTACATTCATCATCATCATATCTACATAATAGATTTATTTAAAAATATATATTTGTAGTATAGTAGAATCATTCTAAATTTAGAAGTTGTATGTTTATTATTTGTGTTGTTTATAAAAAAAATAAGTAGCATATTACATTGATCATTATCATAACAATCGAAGAACCATAATTAAAATTTATGGAAAATTAACTTTATTATAGAAATAATATAATCAAAATAAATGATCAAACAAAGTAAATATCTAAAAAATCATAAAAGTTTACAAAAATTCTTAAAAAAATCCTTGCTTAAAATATCTATAATAAAATCGTGTCAAAGATTCGGCATTTGATGATGACTTATGTTTGTGTTAGATTCTTTTAGAATTTTTTTAGTCAAATTTGTTTTAAGATTTTTTTTTTACTTTTATAGTTTATTTTTTTTAGTTTTGGTTACATTTTTAGTTTTTATAAAAAAAAAATTAGTATTTTTTAAGTCTTATTTTTTTTAGTTTTTCTATTTCCTTTATTTTTTTATTTTGAGTAATTCACTTTGTTTCATGAATTCGGGATCTAATATTTTAGATATTTTACAGGTAAATGGCGGATATTCAACATTAGTCTGACGAGGAATCTCACATTACTTCTGTCAGGTCTGACAACTTAACTAACCCTCCTCAGCAATTAAACCAACCTATACCCGACGAAACCTTATTCCCACAATGTCAATATCTCGAAATCAAACCAAACAACCATTCATTCAGCTTCGATATGTCTGTCGAGTATCAAATAATCCCAGAAATCCTACGCGGACACCCTATTTTCTATTCCCTTTCTGCCAATACACCAGTTCCCATGGTATATCTACAACAGTTCTGGAGTACACTTACTTTGGCCAAAGACGGAGAAACTTTCTATTTCGAAGGAAGCGTAGATGAGTATGTCAGTCGATTGACATTAAAAAGACTTCGAAGAATACTACGTCTTCCTGGACCGGGCTCCACAGGCTTTGAGACGCTTGTAACAGATGACGAACTCTGCCATGACATCAAACGGTTAGGATACTCGCAAGAGTTGATTAACTCATCTCAATTCAAACGGCATTTCCTACCGTCGATCTGGCATCTACTATTCTCAATCCTCAACAGATGTCTGACTTCAAAAACTGCGGGAATCGACACGTGCAGTAGTTCATTTATGAAGTTCTTCCATGGGATCATCTTTACGTGCAAATACGATTATCCCCTCATCATATGGAATGAACTGGTCGAACTTGTTAATGCTAAGAGATTTCCTTCAAAGGTCAGAAAGTTCGTGCCTTTTCAACGGTTTCTCCAACTTTTCATAAAAGCCATGATGAACTCAAACGAAGACATCCCGGCCAGAGCTTATAGTGAAATGGGGCCGACGTTTGTCATGACTAGAATTCGGTAACATACCGAAGTTGAAGATCTGGATTCAATCATGGAGATTCCACTCGAGCTATTTGCCTTCGCTGATCAGAGGGCTCAGTGTGCTATAGACTATAGACGAGTGATAGATCCTATAGTTCAGCCAGAACCGGTTGAACTTACCCCGGGATCACCTCATGCCTCAGCTGAGAGATAGGGTATAGCTGTAGGTGAGAGTGTTTAGGAACACGGGTTACCTGAACAGGGCTGTGAGTTGGGGAAAATGTAATTGAGAGGGGAGCGGGGAGCCTCTAATCAGCATAGTACTTCATCCGATAGTACTTCCTTGACTTCATTAAGTTCGGAAGATACAATATCCGACAATCAGGCAGCTCTGGGTGATGACGATGACAATGACAATGATGATGATGATGCTGTCAACCCTGCTCAACCAATTCTTTCTCAGAATATTCAAATAGGAGCAGTGGTTGATAATATTGATGAGATCTTTCCAGAGTTTGAAGCTCCACATACTTGTCCAAGTCTACATTCTCTATCGTTTAATGTTGATGATTTTGGAGTCAGACCTGATGACTATGATCGACTACTGGAAGACTTGTCAGATATTCCAGTAGAAGGAGGAGATGAGGGAGCTGAAGAGGTTGAGTGAAAGGGAAGCAGAAAAATATGGTGAATGTGAGAGCGGAGCACAAAATCAAGATCAAGCTCCTTTCCTAGCTGAAACACATAGCCGGGCACCCACATCTGCTATTGACATTCATTCCTTGAATGTTGATATTGAATAAGATATAGCTAGCCCAGCTATGCACTTGCACACCCAACCCGACCACTCAACTGGTTCTCAACAACCAGCTGTTTCATTTCAACACGGGGACTTAGCACATATGCTATCTACTTCTCACTTGGAGAATGTAGATATTGAAACAAGTAGGTCGTTGCCCCAGCCTACGACTTCGATTCTGTGCACCTCGAGTCTAGATCCGATACACTTAGGTACACAAGAGTCTCGAGCATCTGTTGCTCCAGTTGCGGTTCTTAGTGAACTCGTCGGAACGCCCAGAGTGATGTCAATTGACCTCCCACAAGGACCGGTCGGAAGTCCTACCAGTGCTACAACTTTACCAACACTGAACGTAGGCACAACAGTTTACTCAACTGTTGTCTCAACTGGTAATCTATGTGATCCAGGAGTTACTTTACCAGACTTTGTGTCAAGAAAATATTTGGACGGCGCCCTAAAGGCTGTTCAAGACAGCATGGATGCTCAGATTGCTAGTTTGAAAAGATTATTGAAGGGGAAGGAGCAAATAAAAGAAGAACAACCATTTGCACCATCACCACCGCCTGTACCTGAGCCTCCGACGGTACAAGAGCAATCGGTGGACGAACTTAAATCCTTGTTATACGCTAAACTGATGTCATCCCAAAATCCTGATGCAGAAGATGCAGATTTGGTTGGGCTCCTGAGACAAGAAATTGATGAAAACCCCACTTTTCGAGCCTTAGAGTTTTTGGCCTTTCAGGATGTGGTTACTTCTAGCTTCACCAAAGTTAGTAAGTTAATCACATCAAACATCCAAGTTCTTAAAAGCTCAATTGATGCCCTTTCTGAACGGGTATCTATTCTAGAAGAGACTTGCCGAGCTCAGACCACCTCACTCAAAAGAAGGCATGATGATCTGGATGATCCTGATCATCATGAGGGGGAGAGAATGTAACACCCCCAATCCATACATTTCATATAACACATATATTATACATAGAATACATGTCTTCTCCTACATAGGTCCATAATACAAAAGTCTTTAATGTGAATTACACCACTCAAAAATTTCAAAAGTACATGCTTCTTTCCCTTATTATCTTTACCTGCACACATATTTTTGAAAACACGAATGTCTAGTGAGGTTCCCTTTTATATAATGCAGGGTGAAGGTCACCAAAACATTTATCAAATAATCATTTCACAACATGCAGAATAAAATCAGTATCTATTTTGGTCCATCGAGCCTCTGGTTCCAAACCACACTTGGAATATATTTCAATAACCAGGACCAGAGCCCCTCTGGTCTCTCTTCCAGAGCTTCTGGTTCCTCGATCACAACCTCTGGTCGTACTAACCAGAGCTTCTGGTTCAACGTGTAAGCCAATCAGAGCCTCTCTAGTCTATTTTTCATAAAAAGATTCTAAGTATAAAATCTTTTTCTTAAAGCTTCTAAAAATATGATTTTGACATAGAAGCTCTTATCAATAGATATAGAGCATCTGGTCCAATTAGTACATTTAGTAAAAACTTGCTCATTCTCCAAATCAATAACCAGAATCCTCTGGTCCAATAATAAGGACCAACCAGAGCCCCTCTGGTTCCTTACAAGGAACAACCAGAGCCCCTTTGATTCCTCATAAAAATGACCATTCTGTTCCAAAACACTTTTAACCAATATCAATGGCCATAGGCCAAGTTTTCCCCTTCTTAATAACATAAATACTATTATTTCTAATAAGAACAATATCTTTGAGTTCTCAAATTACAAAGAAGTAAGGACTCAAATCTATTGTAGTCTTAAAAGACATAATAGTAAGAGCTATAATATTCACACACAATTGCCACCCTTATATCCAAAAGACACCTTTCCTTAATATGCCACCCTTATTCCAAAAGACACCTTTCCTTAATATGCCACCCTTATTCCAAAATACACCTCTCCTTAATATGCCACCCTTATTTCTTCTTTAAAATCTATGAACTAGTTCAGATGAAGGACCGCAGTCACAACCATCTTATTGAATCCTCGTTCATAGTTTTATCCATAACATCTATAGATTAATTCCAAATAAAGACAGATCAAAATCACAATCGTCTCAAAAGAATATTCTCTATAGTTTTCAACCAACAGTTTTATCATTAAAACCTTTCAAACTCAAGAACAATCTATTCTTTTAATGATTTCCAGAAACATCATGTCCCTTTAAACTTCTCAAAACATGATATCATTTTCGAAACTGTTTTAAAGAAGCAATTCCTTCTTTATCTTTCCCAAAACAGTTTTTAATACTCAAATATATAACAATAACACCTTTAAACTATCAAAATACTTTTACCATCTTTTCTTCAAAACCAACATAAAGACCTAACAGTTTATATAATAATATATATAAAGGTTTTAGTCATCAAAAACTCACAGTGTATAAT